CAGGGAGCAAAGTCACCTGGGAGTGCTGGAAAGAGATCCCTGTGATCACCTTGGCAGAAGCTCAGAGACAGTAAACACTGCAGAAGGCTAAATCCTTCTAAATGGCTTCTTCTACATGGGCAGGTCTGCCCAAACCTCTGGCCTCAGAGGAGGAGAAGGAGGCATTTCTGAAGTGGCAATTCTACTGGTGTTTTCCATCTGCGCTGTGGGAAGTCCCCTGTGGAGTCTGTGCTCCTACTGATGCAATAAGGAAACTTATCTTGGGCTTTTACTGATACTGCCATACTTGTATTTCTCTTGTGAGTAAATCAGCCTTGGAGAACCTCAGCCATCACTTCAAACTGACTCATAGATCTTTTAAACTTTCCCTTTTTGTGCAAGGGACAGAACCACATTCCGGGAGGGCAAGTCCAACCTTGAATCAGAAACACTGAAGCATTTGCCAGAGTTTCCTGTGCTGAGAAGAAGGCAGTGCAGTGGGCACAGCTTCTGTTACCTGCAGTCAGCACTGGTCCAACTCCTCCCTACCTGCTCTGGGTCACATCCAGCACTGGTGGGTGTCTGCAGTGACTGTGCCTAAAGACAGTGCATTAATGTGGCCACTGCTGTCCTACCCTGTGATTATCTCCAGGTTCTCATGAGTTTGTTGGTTTTCAGAACAGAAAGCACCTCTGGCACTGATGGGCTGGACTTCAAGGGGTTCCTGTTTCCTCTGGAAAACAAAAATGACTGTGGAGGATGCTGAGCTCAGTGCCTGTTTCGTGCTGGTGGCCAGTACAGGGCATCCCCTAACAGTATTCCCAGATCCACTTCTCCTTCAACTCTGTTCTGCTGTGGCTGCTGTACAGCCTGGACCTTGGGTATTTTTGTCTACCTAGGAACTTTCATCACCAGTGGGATTTCTTGGAAGTGCTCTGCTGGAAAACCAAGTGCTGATTTGATCTTGTGAAGTGCTGCCAAACAATATTTAGCAGTTTTAAGTTCCCTGCTGTGGCATCATCCCTCGTTCCCTCTGTGAGGCATCTGAAAAGACTGAGCTGCTCCATCTTTCCAGTTCATGGGGAGCCATTTGCTGCCAATCTTCAGGAGGAAACCACATTCCTGTTCCATGGCTGGAACCACTGTGAAGTGTCATGAGGCAAAATCTCCTGAGTAAGCACCAGCTCAAGTGCCACAGCTGTGGCTTTCAGCAAGCACTGGCACAGGGCAGAGACAAAGAGGAGGAGGAAGAGAAGAAGGAGAGAAGAGGCAGCTTCTTGCAGGTCAGTCCCTAACCTGTGATTTTCTCACCCAGGGATGTGGAAGGCAGAGTTCTCCTAGGCTGGCCCAAGGAAATGTGAAGGGTTTGTTGTTACTGGCTGCTGAGCAAATGAGCTTGTGACTCATCAGCCTTTGCCACATGCTGCTTTGACAATTGGTTTGTTGGAGCTGCAAACAAATGGGCTTTTATCAGCTAGAAAG